GATTTCCTACGGTCATGTATGTCAATCGTGGACCATGGCTGAAAACTTCGAACTCGGGTACAGGCTGTTGAAATTGACTTTCTTATTCGAGTCGCTGGCCTTACGCGTCTCGACATGGTCCAAAATGCTGACACCCGGGAGCGCCATGGTGTACAACCGCTACTTCTTTAGATTAAAATATTTTTGTGATTATTCATTTCATGCCTGGTTTATCCAAAGAAATCTGAGAGTTCATTCATAAGTAGGGTATAAAAGCCTTGATGGACGAAGGATTTAAGCTCTTTACTTTGCAATGGCTTTGAATATCTGTAATGCGTGTTATTTGTTCCTTATATCATAAACTGCAATGAGTTTAGTGGGATTTACATTCAGAAGTTATGCGATGCACTTAATTTTAGGATAATCGAACATAAGACAGCTTTAGTCGATATGTATTCTCGTTGGTTTGGTTACTATTACCTCAGACAATAATTACCAGTTAATTTATGATGTGATTGACTAGAGGAGAGCTAAGTTCAAACTTGTAATCAAAGCATCATTGTACCATAGGGCGAATAAAATTTGATTGCGTCGCGACTACAGTACATAGGTTGTACTTTTTTTATCAGCCTTCAGTCAGTCTTTTCTAGCTATTTGTTGCGTTGTCGAAGAGCCAACGTTCTCATTCACTCTGCTGCTTGCCTTCTAATTCAGACGGTTGCTCTGATGACGTCGACAACGTGTACACTACACTGTGCAATCATATCCGAAAGAGTTTAAGAAAGACTACAAAAATTCGAATTCTATTCAGAGAAGCTTTGGGGCAGAAGAAAAGCTTACAAGCAATAGAACGAGATATTCGCCTAAAATGATGGATCCCGAGCGCGCTGAAAGACGATGGAAGAGTATGAACTACTATCTGCGCAAAATTCCATGACAACCTGTACTCTTGCAAAGTAAGCATGAATAGTAAGTTGTCACTCATTGCCCTAGAAGAGGCTCCGAAGTTCCTTGGGGCAAAGTTGAGTCGACGACCAGAAATATTAAAAATCGCAAATGTCCGGACAAAGACCATAGGAAACAATAAAACCTAAGCAAAGGGGAACAGTTTCGCTGAAATTCCTTGTCAAACGTACTTCAAGAAGAACAAAACATTTGGAGCATCAGAGACATCAAGAACAATTCTTTTCATGAAGATAGACGATCCTGAGATCTCAAAAACTGTCGACCAATTACACTTCTGCCGCCTATCTACGAGGTTTTCACTCACATTATTCTAAACCGTATTCGGAAAGACGTGTAACTAGTCATAAGATGGGAACTAGTCGGTTTCGGCACAGAATTATTTTGTCATCAATCTGGTACACGTGTTTCAGCAGCTGACGGAGATGTGCAGGTAATATCAAGTGCCACTTGTTTTTGCCTTAATCAGGTACAAAGAGTTCGATTCAATTAACGATTGACTTAAATGCCGTGCACGAACAACATATGAATTCTGTTTACGTCATCCTCGTCGAGGAAATGAGCACCAGTTGAATGACTGATATCAACTTGCTTAAAGAACAGTGTCGTATCAGTACATTCTAGGAGTACACCAAGGAGATACCATCTCTCCATCCCTCTTCGTCGTAGCCTTGGAGTCACTATTCAGCATACATAAATGGTGCAACCGTGGCAATATGATCGGAGAGCAGCTAACATGCCTGCCATTTGCGGGCGGCTGCATTATTTTAGCACAATTTATGATTGATTTCCAACAGATCATCCAGCTTGGTTAATGTCTCCCAGACGAGTTGGGTATGAAGCGAGGGCTGCTGCGAGAGCTGTGCTACGGGAATGAGAAGGAATTCGAGTAAAT